TGACACAAAAGCACACATTTTGATTTTAGCATTTTCTATGGCTCCTTTGGTCATCATCTTCACTTACATTAACTTTTGTGCATCATTTCAATGTTGCCTAACTGGTTTTTGGAGCAGAACAATCATCCTGATATGTATGCACATCTTGCTTTTCACCTCAGACCATCTTCAACACAGAGAGGGATAGTCAGATTCACCTCCATGTCACCTCTCATCTTTCCAGCTTTCCCCTTCCTGGCCACATTAAGAGCTGTGATGATCATAACAAGTCTCAGGAGATTTCTTTCTTGATGGCACCTGGAAGTCCTGGCAATTCCTCAGCTCTCTCCTTGCTACTCACTTTCCACGGGCAGAGGCTGACACATAGTGCTCTATGTGAAAGGTCACTGGGGAGAAGGGACTGCTGGAGCTTGACCTGCTGCTACTGCAGCACTATGTCCTTTCCGTCCCTCTGATGACCATTTTACTGGTTCTGCACTTTTGGATGGCTGATGGATGCATCGCACATAACCCCCTTTCTGCTCATACACAATGTTTGCCTGGCTTGCCCAGCGAGATGGTTGGGTTTTGGAAGCACCAGGTGCAGCTGCTGGGACTGCTGGTTGGAGAAACATTTGCCTCCTGAGCCCGTTAATTAGCACAGTAACGGTAACTGTGCTCCATTAGCCAACCCATGTGGTCAAGTCCCCTCTCCGTCCACCAACCTTGCCCTTAATGAGAGCTGGAAGAGGGACACTCACAAAACACTGCCTCAGAATAATATTCGGCTTTGTGCACGCCGGTAACGAGAGCTGACAGGATCACTACGTCCATTTCTCTTCTAATTAGCACACTTCCAGCTCGGCCTGAGCCAGCAGCCAGAGAAAAGCGATCGGACAACCGTACCGAATCACAAACACAAAGAGGCCCATTCCCCATAATTAGGTGAGACAATCCCTCAGTCTTTTCTCGGCTGGAGCTTGCCGGTAAGACTCTCGCTGTTTTGGTAAGTCCCAGCAACACAAGTTACACGTCTCCCCAGGACACTAATAAGCCCCTAATTGTCTTCCGCTTCACACGGCTCGTACCATAGGTCTGACTTGGGGGAATTCTTCTAACGAGCGGCAGCCAGCACTCCCTGCGCCGCAGACGGACAGGGAGCCGCCTCTCGGGCACCGGCAGGAGAAGGGGGACGGCGAGAAACAGCCAGCAAAGCAATCCAGTCGCTGGGGCCCAGCTACGTGGCACGGGGCCAGTAGCTGGGCATCAGCCACACGGTGCTGGGGACATGGGCCTTCTCCATCCTTTCTCCATCTCCATTGTCCACCTGCACGGTGGAAACCTGAACTCAGCTCTCCAGACTGTCTTGTCCTCTGTCATCTCCAGCGGTACACAGGTACTCATGCTTCCACGCAGAAATGCACAATCAAACCCAAACGTCTGGCTGCAAAGATTTGCCTCAAGTCTCTGCTGAGGCTTGCTGCGAGCTGCCCTTAGAGAAATGCTGCACCTGGCATAGGCTCTTCTCCAGTGAGGCCTTGCCATGGGTCTGCTCCAGAGTTCAGGCTGGGAAGGAGCATGTGTGTGAACAAGGTCCTATCAGTTCTTATGTAAAGGATCATGTGCTGGGTCTCACGGGACAGGTTTCTAAAGATTCTCACAAAATTATTAAAAGCATGAGTTGTGAGGTGGGTAGGAGATCCCAGCTCAAGCTCTCTTATCAAAACAAGGCAAAGAAAGACACATAGTCCCTCTAATTTTCAACCTGACACCTTCTTCAGAAACCATCATCAACCAAATATTTTTCAGCAAGACATTTTCCCTAATTTTTGATTACAAGCTCATATTGAGCAAAATATCAGAGCTGATCCTGTAAGGATAGTCATAGCCTGCAGATCCATTTGCCTCCTGTGCAGCTGATTACAAACTGATTTGTTCTGCAAATCAGGGCTCACCCTGATTCCTCCCACAACGGGCCTCAACAGAAGTAATCTGTCCCATTTTCACGTGTGCTATCTGGCTTCAGGGTGCAAAGCAGGGGGAAAACCTAAGACAGGGTGACAAGCTGATCCATGCAGAGTACAAGAGAAAGACAGGTGCCATTGCTTTCTCTGAAAGGCAATTTGGGATAATGAATACATACACACACACACACACACACATATACAAAACCAGGCAGTCTGAGCACCTGTGCCCATTTGGGTTGCTCTGCTGGTCTCATCCTGCATTCTCGTGTAGCTAGTGAGCTCTCTTCCTGCTTTTTCGTACATAGCCTCCTGCACCTTGGGCTATCAAGTAGGTGGAAGACGGCAAATGGCAAATTTCTGCTTCTTCAAATTTAGCTTAAAATTTTGTGATCATGAAGAAAACAGCCTGCTATTTTTGAGAGGGAAATCCTCCCTCACATGTAAGTGCAAAATTTAATTACCCTATATTATTATGCCTACTCATCAGCTATGGGCCACAGAGCCAGCCTTTCAAGTGATACAGAACCAAGTCAAGTACTTTGTCCTCACAGAGATCTGGTCAATAAATAAGGTGCAAGGTCATTCTTATTACCCATTTTTTCTACTAGCAATTAAGTAAGGGCTTTCAAGCTCAGCCCTCTTCCTCTTTTCTGTTCCTTACTGAGGTGTCTATAACAGAGACAGGCAGGGAGCATTCTGGCTTCAGTGGTCACTGATCTGTATTATAGGAATCAGCAGGCAGGGCAGAGGTCAACCACACAAACCCAACAAGAAAACGCCTATTCTGTACACTCATCAGCTGCCTGGAGTCAGTCATCCTCCTCAAAGGATGACTGACCTCCTCAAACGTTGGAAAAGGTCAAGTCTAAAAACCAGAACTTTCAGTGGATGATGAAGTCAAGATGCAAAGGGATCCCGCCATGCTGAAAATGTAGCAAAATCTAAAGAAAACTTGCATTGTTGCACATATTCTATGTAGAATGTGGATTGCATTCTATAACAACTGGATCAATCTGGATCTCTGGCTACTTAACCTTATTACTATTTTTATGTGGACTTTATGATTGGCCACAACGATTAGAGTTCAGAATATTGCATTTCACATCCTCCTGAAAGAAACTCAAAGCAAAGCAAAGATTGGCTTGCAGAAATAATGTGTTTCTAGAATAGGTTTGATTCCAAGAAGCACAGCATTAGTAAAACCAAAAGGATCCAGTCTTTTTCATTTCCTTATCCTTGATTTTCTTTCTGTCTCTTTTTAGACTTTTTTTTTTCTTTTCTTGCCTTCTAAAAATACCACAGTGCATCTCTTATCAGGGCAATGTATATTTGGCATCACACATGCAATACCTTTTGGATGTATCTCGCAGCCTGGCTGATGTATGTGCTGGGATGTACATGCAGGAGTGGGTGTGGGTTTTGGTAATTCTGTGGTGGGAAGGTTTTGCTCTAACAGAAATGTGTTTACAACATTTGCATTTGTTCTTCGAATCATTTTGATCCAGCTCAGAGTTGTTGCTCCATGAGAAGTTTCTGTCCAACTATAATTTTCCTGGGCTGAAGATACAGAGACAACCTACTAGAAAGTTGTCTTTCAATGAATTATAACCTTCTACTAAAGATTATTTAATGACTTCTTCAAAAGTGTCAGTACAGACTGGCATATGAAGATGGGGATACAACACTAAGAAGTGAGGATTATTTTCTTGCCCTACCAAGTTTGTAGGCCATGTTCACATAGCTCACTCAAAGAAGTGACATATTTTCCTCCTACAAGTACTCTTGTTGAGATTCTTACTCATGAGAAACTCAAATGTGAGGATGCTTGAAGTGTTTGTGAATGAATTGTGCTGGTTCTAGGGGAGCATATGCATTGCTGTACACTTTCTGCAACAGTAATTTGCAAGCTGTCTTTTTATTGTACATATCTAAAAATTTATATTAATTTAGAAGTACTACAGAATCATTTATGAGAAGTTACTGAACTTTTGGGAGGGCAGGATTTCAGACCATGTGACAAAGATGAAATTTACCTTTTCCACATACTGCATAGGCCAGGTGTCAACTCATCAGCACGGAATGGTTGGCATCACTGTCATTGTGATTTGGAAAAATCGTTGTTTGCCCAGCACTAGTTACTGCAGGTGACGTGGATGAGATCAGCTGTAAATCTGGCTGATGATCCTGTTCTTAGAGATACTCAAAACAGGATTTAGGCCCAGAATGCTGTGAAAGAAAACAGCAGAGTAACAAAGTATGAGCTGCAATTAGGATGTACACACTGCACAGTATGCTTGCACTACGACTATTCTGCAATTTTGATTATGCCAGCTCAGGCTGTAGTAGAAGACAAACCACTGAACATTGTGAACACAAGGAAGGTGAACATAACCACAGAACAAAAACCACAGTAGAACCTGAAAAATCATGAGTAGTACACAGACAGCAAGGAAGAAAAAATCCAAACAACTGTTCCTGACAACAAAATAAATAAAAGTTTCAAAATGGAATTATCAGGTAAGCAGATTTAAAACAACTTTCCCTCCAGCTTTTTTTAAATTTTTAATCTTTCTTTGTATAACTTAATTATGGAACTCCCTATCCTGGGACATTTTTCAGGTCAGAAGTACGGAAAAATTATGACTAAGACAAATTTATGGAGGGTAAGGTCTACTGTGGACCAGATTTAACTAAAACAGATTGCTGGATGCTGTGTAAGTTACCCTAATGCAAAATCACCGTGTAAGCCTTTTGTTTATATCCCTCCCTATCCTTCTACAACTGTTTATAAGCAAAGAGAAGATTACAGATAAGACTGGCTTGTGATTTGACTTGTAACAGCACCTTGCATTTTTACATAACATAAAAATCAGTAAAACCAGAATAAGGTTCAAATGTTACCTCCAAGATGGATTAGTCAGTTTTCACTAAGTCATACCTAGGTATCTTTTTGAGGGAAACATTAATCGAAGTTGAGAACTGTGAGTTATAGGACCATTAAAAATTGTTGATTTTGTAATGGCAAAACACTGAGTTAAATGGAATATCACGTTATTCAATTGCCAGTGCACACAGACTTTTATTTTCATAATGATTAACATAACAAACAAGAATTTCTTCTCAGCTGGATGAGATAGCAAAGCATTTGATAGTCCAACACCAAAGTGAATAGCCTTTCTAACTGAATGTATGTAAGACTGGCATTTAAAAGGAACCAAATAAATATTGAGTTTACTTCCAGGAAACTCACAGTAACATCTAATATACCAATACATGAAAACACTTTATAAAACAATGCATCAGCTTGATTAATATTACCAAATCTTGATTTTCTTACACTCTTCATTCCCATTAGTAACAAAAAGTCATTCAGATTTTCTTGTACAGATAGATAACTGCATGGATGTCAGGAAGAATAGCACTGAAGGAAAAAATTGGGTTCAAAAGGGTACAAAAACCCTTAGTAGCATTTGTATATTGACAAATATTTATTTACTGATGGGAATGGAACATCCACAGGCCAAACCCTGAGATGGTGTCATGCAGATAAGTGAAGAAGAGCCTGAGGAATAGTATTGCCTAAGTGGCCAAGCAAAAGCCACTATTGGGTTGCTATCAGACGGCTATTTTGGAAACCCAGACAAACCTCTGAGGTTTGCATTTGCATATTATTAAACCAAAAAGCAATAACAGACAGAAAAAATTTCTCTGGCTAACACACAAAAATACATATACATATTGTCAATAAAAAATAACATCATTGACTTATCTCTACAGATGATAAGTACAAAGTCAAAAAAAATCACAATTCTAAAGCATATGTTAATGGCTGCCCTATACAAGATGATTACTGTGTATAACAAAAGGAGATTTTTCTTTTTTCTTTTTTTTTAACATATGTATGTTACTAAAAACCACCTAGAGTTTGAAATTTCTTACGGCACATATCAGAAAATACACATATACTTCCAGGAGAGGCTTTCATATATTTTCCTATATCCTCCTTTCAGATGTCAATTCCTTAATGTATTGGACAAAGAAACCTCTATAAAATACTGGTGATACAGATCAAGTATCCCATTACATCATATATGTGTACATATATTACATATATAGTATGCAAACTTGAATTTGCATTCCAAATCTATAATTCAAGCCTAAAGCTACATCAACATCAGTTTGCACCATCGGGTTTTTTTCTATTCCTGAACTACCACTTTCAGCTTCTCTTCTCATTCATCTCTCTTAATTCTCATGTTCTCAAGGGATGGAGTTCCTGTTAAGCTCAGCCCTGCATAAACTCTGAAGGACAGAAATAACTCTGTTAAGTCTTAAATCAGGCTCCTGATATTTCTAAATTTGTGCAGGGTCTTTCCAGGATGTAGGATTTAACTACTTAAACTTAGTTAATCAGAGCTGTCCAAAACAAGACTAGTTTTGAGTGGCAATAACCAAAAACCACAGACTGCAAACCAAAGGGTCACCAGCAATTCAGTAAAACTCAGAAGTCTATTTGATCAAAAAAATCTCCCCCTCTTTATTGCACACACACCCAAAAAGAGTCCCCTCTCTCTGCAAAGCCAGAAAAATGCAGTGCTGTAAGGACAGCCTGTTACATGTACTATTTCCAAATAATTTCTCCTCTCATCTGTGACTACAGCCTGAGAAATGACACGTTTTGAAAAGCCCGCATGGTAAATATAACATTATATTATGTTATGTTTCAACATTGTATTGTATCCTAAAAAAGAACATATTTACTAATGCTTAAAATGTTTTTCTCTAGGAAAAGGAAAGAGGATGGAATAAAAAAAAGATTTTCTTAAATAAAACCAAAAGTCTGAACATGCTCTATACCTCTTCCAAAGGGTGAATATGTAGAATTGCATGAACAGAAGAAAAAGGCATTAAATGGTAATCACAGTATTCTGAAAGCAAGCAGCTCACAGAAATTTTTATCTTTAAAATTCTGGGTTTGTAGGAGAAGAAAATTTTGAGGTGCTGGTTTATAAGCAATTAAAAAATACCACAAAACATTATTTTCAGAAACATTGAGATCCTGTATAGGCAGACCATCTTCACCATGTGGCTAACAGTTCTGATGCCACTTCTTGGAGTGATAACTGAAAACATTACCATCTTTCAACTTTAGAACTCGTTCAAGTTTCTAGCCCTACAAGAAGCAAAGAATTGCAGAGGACTGACAAAGCTGTTTCTTTGTGTACTGGCCAAAGCTTCAGTGAGGATATTTTCCTGGAGACACAGTAACACTTCTTACTCCCTGTGGTCTGTTTCAATTTCACTTAGAGAACCACTCAGCAGCGAAATGAAGCTCCTGGCACACGAAAGGTCTGGAGCTCTTCCTCGGGGTACCACATGTGCTTCTCTGAAGGCAGTGGGCAGCTGGAATCTGATGCAGAGACTGCACTTGGCTTCTACACTAAAAGCATGTGCTCCTGCTGAATGCTGGTGCTCCTGGTCTATCCACACCCCAAACTATGCTCAAATCCTTCAGCACAGACGTTGCACACAGGAAATCAATGCATCTGAGACAGAAGACACACCAAAGGTCAAGGCCTCATGATGGACACTGGCCAGTGTCAGATCTGCTGTGTACCTCAAACAGGCTGCCCCTGAGAGCAGCTGAGTAAGGACACTGGCTGTTCACTTTGAGCTGCTGATGGAAACAAGTAACTGTGTCACAGCATGTCAGGGCCAAGTCCTCCTGCTGGACATCCTACGGTCAGATGAAGTCCGAATTCCAGTGCAACCAACTGCAGTCCCTGTGACCTCTGCATATTGTACATTTCTCCCATGAAGAGATGAGCTGTGGAAGCAAAAAGAGATGCTTGCTTCTGAAGGTCTACAGCAAGAGCTTTGTTCTTCTTAGACTTTCTGGGCTTCATCTGGATCTGCAGTACATAAAACTACTTAGTTGGGGTATTTTCATCCAAATGTTAGATGCAGTTACTTCTTGGGTTTCTCTAGGATGTTCAGGAATTTCCCTCGAGTCATTTCTCTAGCTGCAATCACAAGGGAGGAAAAAGAAATCAGTATTTTTTTAAAAAGCCAAGAAACTCAAACAGTTGTATAATCAGTATAATTGTATAACATATTCTAACCATAGGATACAAAATTAATTTGGATTTGTGCTTGTATCAAAACTAAGAATTATTTTATTTATCTATTTAAGAGGAAAATAAATAAAACTGCATTTCAGCTTGAATTCCTGACATGCTACAAATGCAGGCAGGGTCTGGAATCTTCTAAACTCAGCAATAATTCCCACAGGCTGTCTCATTACATACAATCTATGCTTTCTATTCCTACTGCATTATGCTCTTGCAGCACCTCCTTTTCCCTATACTATCCATCTCTGAATGGTGAAATCCAAATCTCCATCACTCTATCTCAGCACAATTGTTCCTGTATGTTATAATCTGTCAGAGATTATGGAACTCTCTCTTTCTCTGTTTCAGGATTATTGGTCCCTGGATGATGTGATCTTCAACAGAAATTAGGCAGCATTTTCTCTCTCTCAGCAGTGTCAGTCCCTGGATGCTGGAATATAATGAGGTTTATATTCCTTCAATGTAGTTCATCTGTGGATAAGGTAATAAAGTAAAGTTTATAGAGCTTTGGTCTTCTCTTTCTCTCTGCGTTGTCAGTCCTTCGATGTTTAATACAGCAAGGCAAGGCTTATATGTCTCTCTCTCACTCTCAGTACCATCAATCTCTGGTAGCTGTATTACAGCAGGGTTTACACAGCCACTTTTCTGCATGAGACATTTCTGACTTGAGAACCCACAAGCTCACAAGCTGGCAGAGCAGCCCTCATACTATTCTTTCTTGCAATAACAATACAATGCATCAAAGACAACACCATTAGCAACTGAGGCCTGGGGAAAGACAATCTTCCCACTGGTGCCCCTCCATTTCTTTTCAATAAAGGTGTAAGCTTTGTGCTGGACTGGCAGGTATCAAAACATGGAGGGTTTTATGCACAGGAATGCTGAAAGCATGCATGTTTCCCACACCTAGTCTCAAAGACAGTCTAGAAGGAGAAAGGAATTAATTTTTTGTTTTATCCATTCAACTTCTGACTTCTCTACTGAGACAAACATTAGAAATTAATATTAGTATAAAAACTGGAGGTGGGTTTGTTGATGTTGGGTTTTCTTTTGACATTATTGATTATCTGTCAGAACAGAACTAAAATGTAATAAAAATGTTCAGCTTACAATACTCAGTGTGCACTCAGATACAGACATTTTGTTATTATTTACACAAAAGTTAGAATTTGTGTTTTAAAGCCTCTTCTTTAAATTACTACATTCTAATTTGTTTACATAACATTGTATTGTCATCAGCAAAATCCCTGTAAAACAATCAATTGTATTTAAAAGCATATAACCTGTCTGTTACATAATGATACTTGTAGGCTGCAAAGTCCACTGTCCTGAGTGGAACATGCTTCAGACTGGCTGTAGGTTCAAGCAGATCATTGCACTATTTTCTTGCCTCATGCCTCCAGCTGTGAGTTATATCACCTGGGATCCTGCTTCTGATGCACAGCATGAGCTACCAAAAAAGTACTCATTTGTATCTCTACCTCCCAACCCCAAGATAACCTGTATGTTTTAGGTGCTGCTGAAGTGACACAGGGATAGAAGGTGCTGCAGAAGAACAGAGAGTATTTTGTCAGGAACGAAGTTGTTATGCCCAAAGAACATGACTAAATAAAACAGAAAGATTTTTAAAATTTCAGTTTGGAATAGATTCTTAGTACTTAGTTCTTTGACACCTCCCTGCCTTGTTCCAACAGTAGTGCATGGTTTTAAAACACTCTTAACGAGAAAAGCACCTAAGCTGAACTGCAGTTGATAAAGTGGAAAGTTTTCCAGAGTGCAAGTCCCATGCAGGAGATATACGAATGCATGACAATTCTGTTCCCCCAAAGAGGGCTGCACCCTATAAATCAGGCAGAGAGCACAGGCTCCTTCTGCACACTGAGTGAAATTACTGTGGGTTGGAGGCTGCTCCAGAGCACGTGCCTGCCTGTTCGCTTGTCATCGGAGATGTTAACATTTCTGATTAATTCACAGACCGCTCATTTTATTCTTCATTCCTTTATCCTTGCTATCCTGTTCTGCTGCAGCTTAAAGATTCTTACCGACCTGCTACAATAATCACCACCCGCTTCCCCCCCCAACCTGGTGAAATTGTTTAGTGATGCCAACCGCGCTTTTAATTTGCAAGACATCAGACACAGAGGTAATTTATACCAACATCTGTTCATTTCTGACTTCTGAAACAAACTCGCACATGCTGCTACAAAATCCCATTAGGAGCAGGAGACAGCCTTCTGCTATTCTGTATTCCTCGTCTCCTCACAGACTCAGGCTTGCAGCAGGGCTTTATTTTTAAAGATATGATGCCAAACTGAGAAAAAAAAAAAGGACCTTTTATCTTTGTATATGTATGAAAATAGCCAGGATGTAACATCCTCATTTGACAGAAAAACCACAGCCAAACTAAGGGCAAGTTTCCACAAGCATTAACAATCTTGTCTTCCCTGCTTCAGCTGCTTCTCTTATTTGCCCAAGAACCACAGTTCAATGTATTCCTGGTAAACACAGGCCAAATTTTTACAACATGGTACTGCCTTCAAACATCTTGGCTATTCCTTCACCTTTGTTTCTTTTTAATCTGTTCTGGAATGTGATTTGATGGATTCTGCACAGTAAATGGCTCTAATATTAAACTGATTTCTCTGCTCAGTATTGCTTCTGAGAAATGAATTCTTAATAATAGGAATATAATTTCCATTGGGGTCTTATGGAGTTTGCTGGAGTGAGGGAAGAGCTTGTGAATGAAGAAACCATCACCCACATTCCAAATACGATTGCAGGCTAAGAGAGATGGTAAAACCAGCTTTAAGCAACTACCCAAGGGACCAGCAGAAGCATTTGAATAGTAGATAGAGGTGGATTTTTTAATTAAAAGGTTGGACAAAACTACAGTGAAAACCTCAGGGATTTTTTCTTTACAATGGTAGTTTAAACCATGGACTTCAAGGGAAGAGAGGGTTTGAGAACAGATTTCATTGTACCAGCAGACACACACTACAGAGGCTGCGCAGCACAAAACAGAAACATGAATCTGCATGACAAGTCACGATTTACAACCTTGCCTATGCTGTGCATCTACTACAATAGAAAAATCAACAATGGATGCCATTGCAATAGCTTGGATACAAATTAACCCCACCTACCCGGGAGAAGGAAGACACTGAACTCCACAGAAAAAAACAGTTTAGGTTGATAACAGCACTGGTTGCTCTGGAAGTAGTGCTTGAATAAACTCCTTCAGATAAATGTATTGAAAAATGCTATCAGGCTATTGTAATTAACAGAGAATGCTGTACTGTAGGAATTAAGTTTGCTGCCTGGCAAAGATCTGCCAAGCAGATCTCAAGGACAGGTACTGGATAGGAAAGGCTGGGGCTGAAAGGAGGAAGAGACATTCCTACTTGATACAGGAGCAAAATAAGGTTTAATATAATCTCCTCTTTAGAACTTCAATCCCTCAATCCCACATTTAGCCTTGTTGCCTTGGGCTCCGTTTTTACTACAATTGTCCCCAAGCTGCCTCTCCGCAGTAAATTTTATAGTTGCTGGTTGAAAAGATTCAGTGGTACAGATTGATTTCCTACAAGTGAGGAGATGAGGGATTACCAAAAGCAGTCCTGGTTAACAAGATTGGGTGCAGAATCTCCTGCTAGAGCAGCCCACTCTGCCAGTGCTTTGCATCCTTTCACTATGACATATGGGTTTCATTACACAAAGATTTTCCTGATTTTAACTCGGAGGCGATTACATTGGAAACTCAGAGCTATCTTTACATCTGTAGCAATTTAAAGGTTAAGTAACTTTTAATCAAATGACAAAGACTCATAATGTTTTTTCCTCGATTGAAAATGAAAACTGCTGTTCCGGATATTCCTTCCACTGACAATTTAATTAGAAAAAAACCACTGCACTGGAGATTGGGGTCCAGCCTGATTGCTCCCCATAAAAAGCCTTCTCACAGATACAACAGCACAGGACATACTGTGTCATAAGGTCTGGATAGCCAGGAAATAATGGAAGGATTTACTGCTTTAAAATCAGCAAGGAAAACAGTGACTTATATAAGCAACTTTCATCCAGAAGAATCCTAAGTAACACACATACTTGCACACTTCTTAAACACAATATACACTTAAATATATCCACAACACACTTGGGGATAAAGTCTATGCAGAAGAAATATACAAGACAAACTGTAGTTATCACACATTCAAAATGAACATTATACCTTCACTGCTTACCACTTCTGGGCTTATCTAAAAATCTCAAAACAAAGTCTGCGAGTCCCTTCAAATTATAGATACATATATATGAAGTCACTTGCTAAAGAAGCACATCTTAGCTTCTCTCCCAGATGTACAACTTCTGGGACAAAGTTGACTGTGATCCCTCTCTGACCTGAAAATGTAGCCTTGCTGAAATCTAAATGTCTTGCCACTAATAGAACCCAGAAATACAATTAATGTTTTTAGCACTGAAATTACTTGCAGTGTCACATTTTGAATGTTACATTCTTGCCTACAAAAAGGTTATTTTAGGCACTGTTATACTTTGTTAGGTTATCATTTATTCCTCTCATGCAGTTGTACTTATGGTAGCTAAAGAATTTGTTTTTCAGCATGGAAGGATTCCTTTAAAGTACTAATCACGCGCCCTCAAAATACTGCTGTGTCCTTGCACTACATAGAAAACAAAACTAGAAAGGTTTATTTCCGAAGCACTGTCAATACAAATTACCATTTTATGGCAAAGAATATGAATTGCAGAAAGACAGCAGAGCAGTTCACTGGTTTTTAACCTTCTATCACAAGAATCTGTTGCATCAGAAATGATTTCTTATGTGCTAAGATACAATGTTAGGATAAGAAGACACAGAGATTCTTTTTCTTAGTTGGCAGGACATAAAAAAGGCCTAGAGGAATCTGCCTGTGAACAGCTGTGGGAGTTTTGCTTGACTGAACTTGTGAAAACAACTGCAAAGTCACACCTTTCAGCTGGGCTCAACTAATATTGCATGTGGAAGGAAAATAAAAAAAATAAGTCGGGGCTGAGGATTGAATGCAAAAGGATAACTTAAAATCAGCAAAAATATTTAAGACTGGAACAGCCCTCAAGGAAAAAAGAGGCATATGACAGACAAGACCAAGAGAATATTTTTACCCAGACAACATCATCTGAACTTCTGTCAGAGAGATAGAAGCTGGTCCCGGCAGTTCTATCTCAAACCAGACTCCCAAAATCCTATCACCACCTGGCACCAGCTCACAACTTTTTCTTCATGGAAAGGGCTTCAATTACTCTGCTATCTGCTGTCTACTTCCTAATGTAAGTATCAAATGAGCTGCTAGTTGAAGACTATTGGCCTTTGACAAATACTTACCAGTGAATTCTACCCCAAGCCCAATTTCAGAGAGAGTTGAACTGCCATCTCAGGAGAGCAGTGGCTAGTGAAAACAAGGTCAGTCACCTTCACTGGAGGCACATGCAGACACTCCAAGCTGCGCTTCAGGAAACTGTTACACTGACACTGAAGATCACTGCAATCACCCAACACTCCTGAAATACATTCCTCAGGTAAGACAACACAATCAGCGTAAACCTCCAGACAGAATAAGCTTGCATTACCATGGCATCTCTCAGTGATCAGTATCAAAGGACTTGCAAAGTTTATCAAGCCTTACAATATTCTTGAAACACACAGTGATTTAATTCCCACCTCACAGATGGGATCACAGCCTCAGTACAGATTGTTGTGCTTCCACCTCAGTCAGCAACCAAGCTCTATGCAGCCATTTGCTGACTCCTCACCAGAATCAGGGAGAGGATCAGAAGGGTAAAAGCCAGGAAATTTGTGGGTCAGGATAAAGACAGTTTAGCAGAGAAAGCAAAGCAAAACAAGGAACTGATTCACTGCTTCCCTTGGCAGGCAGGCGTTCAGCATCTCCAGGAGAGCAGGGCTCCATCACACGTAACGGCGACTTGGGAAGACAAACATTGCCACTCTGATCATCCCTCCCCTCCTCCTTTTTCTCCCCACTTTATCCATTGGTCACAGTGTCATGTGGTCTAGAATACCCCTTTGGTCAGTTTGGATCATGCATCCCAGCTCTGTCTCCTCCCAGCCTTCCATGCACCTGGAGTCTCCGCCAGCGCGGCAGTACAGGTAGCAGAAAAGGCCTTGGCTCTGCTCACCAATACCAAAACCATCTCTCTATTACCAACCTGTGTTCAGCACAAATCCAGAACACAGGCCCATACCAGCCACTGTGAAGAAAATTAACTCTATGCCAGCCAAAACCAGCACAAGATGTATGCAAAAGGATTCAGCAATTGTGCTAGAATTCAGGCTCTGAAAGATGAGCTGTCAAGTCTTGCTGCAGCATTTTTAAATAATAACACCCCCTTGGTACAAAATATCAGTGCCCTTCCCTTGGTGAATGAGATAGCAGAATGGGCCCTTACATCAGCTGTACTTCAGGGTCTGGCATGGCTTGTTTTGAAATGCCAAAGAAGGTGATAGCTTGCACAAAGCCAGGCTGTGAATTGGAGCAGGTGAGCACATGGACTGCTCCTCCCAGTATGCTATGAGAACAGTCCTCTCTGACAGAGAAGTGGTAAGTAGCAGAGACTGACAAAGTTTTAAACCATTGAAACAGCTTTATGAGTGTCAGCTAGAGCCTTAAGAATTGTAATCAAATACCTAATGCCTTCCTGAACTGTGAAATCCTCCCGTGATCTCTTTCCACCTTGTTTTTCTCCACATATAGTTCAGGTGTTTTATCTTACACCTGATAAGAGATCTCAGAGATCATTTGGGATTATCCAGTGACAACAGATCTGTTGCAATTAATAAATCCTGAAAAATGTTATTGTTGCTATCAATAAACACGAAAATTATATCTGCTCTAAGAAAAATTAGATTACTTCCCTGCAGAATAATTTACCTTGTTCTCCTAACCAGATTTCCCTCCCTTGCAAGGAGGTTACCATTCTGTTTGCATTCAGTTGCAAACTGTGATGTTCACAGAGCTTCGAATGCTGAAACTACAAACGGTATTCACTCACATACAGATGGGCAAAGACAACCCTGCCAATGACCAGGGAGCTACTAAACTTATGTTCCAGGCCACAGATACTAGGATGTGCAGGTATTTTGTCCCGAGTGACCCTGATATTACAGTAAACTCTTACAGTACCTCCCAATTCTAGGAGCTGCCTGCAGCCAATATTTTGTAGGGCCAAAGATCTGATCCCTTTGACCCCCAAAGCAGGGAAAGAGTTACATCTTCTCTCTGCAAAGCCAATAAAAACCTCTTGATTATAATTTAGATAAGAGCCACTGGATTGAATAATAATGTCTGAAACTCCCCTGGCTGTTTCACCTTGAGACGTCCATCACTGGGTTAAACATGATGCTAATTGCATTTGGATTGATTAATTTCTCTCACTCCTGTCTATTCGAATAATGCTTAACAAAATAATCACAGCACCCAGAGCCAAATCTTCTCCGTCAAAGGAATGAAGCCATCAGAACCAGCAGAGATGAAAGAAATGAAGATGACCCGTAATTACTGCTACGGTGATATCATTACCATATTACAGAAAATGAGTGCACGTGGGGGGAGCGGGGGCTGCGATTATTATTTATTTTTTAATGGAACCTCACATCCTAAGAATACAGATCCAACACAGTGAGTGGAACATACAAAAATACAGAACTAAAAAATTATTGTGCATTAAATTGCAAAATACAGGGAACACTAGAACTCCTGATACATCATGCATCCTGTACTGTTTGCTGCTGTTTATTCACTTCACTATTTTTTCATTGCAATAATATTTTGTATATGACTAGCATAGAGATTTAAGATGCCTCTCCTCCCAAAAAGATCCTCAAGGGCCTGCAGCGGAACTCACCCATAACCTTGATGCAAAAGTCATTTTTTTAAAAATATTATTACAAGTCATCTTATTTTCAATGCTGGCATTCAGATTTTTAAAAACAAGACCTAATTTGATGCTCAAAGAAAAGCTATTATGCAAGAAATTTTTATTCTTCAATGCTGATTCCTCTCTGAAGGCAGTTATAAACTGCATCCCCAGCCACAGTAGATCACTTTCAACTATTCAATATGCTGGTTCTGTAAAGATATCAAATGTATCAAGTCTGGAAAAATTTAAAGCAGGATTTGGAAAAAAAAAAAAACCCAACAAAAAATGCCAAACAACCAAACCCACAACCCTAACATGCAAATTGAAGCCCTTCTGCTCCCTTTATTCTCCAAAATACACTCCCAAAGCCCCTATCATTTGAGAAACAAATAGCTTGGCAATTGTGTAAGATCTACAGACACCTGTGCACTGCAATTCTAATTGTGGTTTATACACTTCACTTCCCTCAGTGCTCCTTCTGTCTGCCCCCTAGACCCAGACCAAAGACAAAAAAAAAAACTACACACAACTAGCAGCTTAAAATATTTATTCTGGAATAAAGCCAAGGTCAAATACACAAGAAAATTTTGCATGCCAAAAATGTCAAGACCTAAGACCAGGCACTGACTCATGAAGCTAATTAAACACAGAAAAAATATGTTCAACTATTTTGTAAGGCTGAAATTAAAAAACCCACAAGTTACACTTCTAATATTAAAAGCAGTAAGAAAAGCAATTTTGCATCAAAGTTAAGGATATTTTCAAATATACCTGAAAGGTACTTTACTAGCATAAGTTATCATTGGAAGATCTACAACTTGGGAGAGCTCTGACCACCAAATCTCACAGATATCACAACTAAACAGCAGAATAGGGCCATGCTTTTACAAGAAGGACTCTAAAGGGCCTTTTTCTCTTTGCTTGTACCAAAAGGAAAATAACCTCTTCCTGGCTTCCAACACCTGCAGCGGAACAAGAGTTTTTGATAATTTAGATTTTCTCACCACAGGATCTCAAGGAAGAATCTTTCTCAAACAACATGCAGAAATGAGATCAAAACTGTTTGCACTAGAATTCTCAAGCATAAAACACACAAAGAAGCTCAGCAAAGAGGTCTGTGCTGAACATACACAGAGAGCCAGGTATGAAAGGTTTCTGGAGGTGAGTGGGCCCTTCTCAGCAGGAACAGAGGCAGCAGTGCTGCGCACGCTCCCACAACACTGCACCACAACACAGTGCCCCTGCCTGCCCTAGGGAACACGTTTGCTGCTGGGAGCAAAGCAGGTGAACCCTGAGAGTAACAATTTTTTCAAGTTTTATCAGTGGCCAGGGCATGGAGGCCACGGCCAAATCTGAGCCCAGGAGCCAATAGAAACAAAGGGATTAAGAGTTATTAGGAGCAGAGAGAATTACATATTTACAGTACAGTTACTGAAAAATAATCGTGTAATGATTATGTAAGTCCCTATATTCCTTTTGGCTAATAATGCTGGGATACAAGCTGTATGGTTATGCAAGCCAGGGCACACAAATCCAATCAGAAAGCATCAAGGCTTGTTTACAGGGAGGCTTGCAGCACTGGATCAAGAACAGTGCAGCTTCCTTGACCTCCAAAAGGTAGAAACTAGCCCTTGTCAATAGGTTAGCTAATGGCCTGAACTGTGAAGAAGAACTGAATTTTTAAATTTAACTTCCATCAACAAACTTAATAGAAAGAGATATCTAGATCAAAGAAGCTCATAATATGGTAGTCTGTATTTATTTGTCCAGAAGTATGTCTTTACTTTACAGAGCAGACTAAATCTTTAAAATGTTTTCTAATCCCAAGATTCCTTATTGAAACATTTTTCTGTTTAGATGACTGCGGCCCTTGACAGAACAATGCATTATCAGTATTGAAGGTCTCAGTGAAAAGAAGATTCATGGGTTTTGACTGAAAAATACTATTTGATTTACACATTAATTAAACCAAGAGTCCTTTTGCAATGAGTATGATACAATACATGACATTACATAGAAGACTTCCAAACTTTCCAAAAATCCAAGGAAAAAGTCTGTATGGCCAAATATATGCAAATGACTGAAATCTCAGTGTTCCAAGGTCAAAGTCTCAGGCTTTGTTAAGACACAATTATGGAAGAACAGCACTATGTAGTTTGTGGGCTGCAGAAGAAAAACCTCACAATTGCCTCCATAATTTTATTCTTTCCTTTGTGTGATTCAAAGGTACTTCATGTAACTATTACCCTTATCCCTATCCTTATCCTTCCCAGCATATTCACTGCTTGCTTTATTCCAGCATTTTAAGGTATAGTTGTATAATTTAAGTTATTTTAGCTTGATAAATTTCGTGTGTTCTGCCCACTACAATACTCTTCTGGCAACAGTATCCTGAGCTGAGGAGAATCTGAGAGACCAGAAGAGAATTCAAGAAATTCAAAACCATTTTTACCAACTCCAAGCTGGTCACAAGACACCTGAGTAAATGCACTGATTTAGAAATGTTACAGATTTTACAGCATCCAAATGCTAAGAGAATCAAGTTTGAATGAATAATGGAAAACTGTTATTACTGAGAGAATCTATGACTAGTGTTAATCTGACCGACTTGATAACAGAACTGT